CGTGGTACAAAATATCGTTGTCGAAAAAAAAGCGGCTCAAAAACTTCGCAGTTTAAAAACATCGTGGGCGAAAATATCGTAAAAAATAAAGTACCTACAAATCATCGCATGACAATAACATTGCAGACATACGTTTTTAAGGCTTTAATAATTATAAATGGATACTCACATAATTATTTGTGAGCGCAAGATGGAAAGAACGGTAATTTTTACTTTCATAGTTTTTATTAACTAATAAATTTAAAGAAAAAAAACAGAATAAGAAATTTAAACAAAACAAGAAATAATTTCCACTACAAGAGTATCACATTAGCAAAAGTGAAGAAAATAATCTTATAATTAACTTAGCAATTTTTTTATAGATAAGGTCATGCAATCACCAATCTTTCTTTTTCTATTCTTTTTTAGATTATACTTTTCATGAAAAATTACCAGTAAAACTTTATAAAAATAATTTATTAATGACCTTTGTTAGTTAACTATGTCAGTTTAAAATTCTATTAAGTGCTATAAGTTGCATTAATTTTCTATGCTTAAGTTTCCATATTAGATTTTCAGCAAATATTTATTAGTTAATTAAAAATATGAAAGTAAAAATTATCCTTCTTTCCATCTTGCGCTCACAAATCATTATGCGAGTATCCTTTTACAATTATTAAAGCATGTCTGCGATGTTATCGTCATGCGATGATTTCTAGATACTTTATTTTTTACTACGATATTTACGACGACGATGTTTTTAAACTGCGAAGTTTTTGAACCGATTTATTTTCGACGACGATATTTTGTACCATTTTCTTTTTTTCTTTTTCTTTTTTTTTTTTTTAGAATTGCGATGTTCTCTCTTTGCTTTATTTTCTCCCGCGATATTTTATACCACGACGTTTTCACCTTGCGTTGTTTCCTACGCGACGTTTTCGGCCGACACCGAAAATAGTCATCTCCCGTAACTTTGCAGTTTTGTGACCACCTCACACTGATGGATTTCTGGTTGTGGGGTTGTCTGAAATCTAAAGTATACACATCAAATCCACGAGATTTGTCAGAATGGGAAAATGCCATAAAAAGAAGTTATACAGATTTCACTTGCGATGTTACTTTCGTCATTGCTTTCAACAATCTCTCCATGCAATCCGCAGTAGCGGATAGGGCCGGCGGGAGACCGGGCCGGAGTGATTTTGGGCTGATCAAGAAACTCTGAGCCGGAACTCGAACCATCGAATCGAGACAGCTCTGCGCGTGAGAAAAACCTGGATGCGCGGACCGCATATCCCACTCAAACTCACATGAGATACGGTAGCTGTAGGCTGTAGGGTAGGGGTAGAGTAGAGCTTATGATCGACAGCCGCAAAATAGATTTATGAAAATACAATACAGTCGCGTTCTAATTTAATTGTGAAATTGAAAATATTGCTTTATAACTGTAGTTAAAAAAAGACTCTCATGCGAATTTTACTGTGTCACTGAATGATGTAAGTTGATGACCAAAAATATTGTAGTTGAATTTTTTTACATTACTTTTTAGATACTTAGAATGGATAAAAGAAAAAGGAAGTGCACATAAACTTCGAGAAGAGAAACACCCTAAAACAAATTTTGGCACATTCGATTGCAAAGATAATTATCTGTCTATATGCAGAATTAATACTTGCATTCAAAAATATTGCTTCCAATGATATACAAAATGCACAGATACGACAAATGGCAAAATCTAGTTTGGACAAAATGCCATCGTTTAGAATAATTGTTTCTGCTCAGGTATATTTGAAAATATTCAGTATACACAGCCAGTAACGAAATATTTGCAGACTAAAGGATTAAATTACATCCTAGCATATAATATGGTTAGGGATGTTACAAGCTCTTTAAAGGCCCTTTCTAGAAACTTTGATTTAATGTTTGTCGCATCAAAATCGTTTGCAACGGATTGCAATAATAAGAAAGTCTGAATTATGATATAATTATAGAAGAAGTACCTACTAGAAGATGCCGAAAAGTGAAGTAAAGGGGCGACGAAGAATCGTCCGACTATGATTTCAAATGCCCTATCAAACGATTCGAAGTTACTGTCTTTAATTTGATAATAGATTACACCATTTCACCGATGGAAAATAGGTTTAAAGGGATGAAATCAGAACCGAGTAAGTAAATGGGTAATAATAAAAAATTCAATTGAAAATCATTATTTTGAATTTGATACTGAATCGGAAGCAGAGAGGGCTCTATCTATTAAACAGCATTCATCCAAAGCTAAATGTAATTTTTGCAAAAATTGCATCTTTGTATATAAATTTATTTATAGTAACGCGTACACCAATGTGTTTTTTGCTTATAAGTTTGTACTCACCCTATCTATAATACAAGTTGAATGCGAAAGTGTTTTTAAGAATTAAAAATTGTAAAAAGGAGTACTATAAAGTAAGCTAATTTGGTGTCATTGCTATTGATGAACACAGAGGATATTTTGACTAGAGCAAAAATTGAAGATATAATGGAGGAACTATTTGCCCAGGCGGTCTGGAATTAAAAAGTATTTAAATGGCTAATTATGAATCAACCGCTGTTTTGTTTACATAATTATTTAGGCACTGTCATTTGTAGTTTGTAGTTTATTTGCATACACTGGTGTGCAAAAATTAAGGACGAGACGGTTTTTTTCAATATAACTTTTTACAAAAGCTTTCCAAATCAACACATTTAATACCGTAAGACCCCCAATACGTAAGGACATGAGTAATGTAAGCAAATCTTCTAAAAGAGAATCAGAGGGTAAAAAGAAGCTTTATTGAAAAAGTAGCATGGGAGCGCAATGCAACTGAAGGCCGAAACATCCCTGTGATGGGTGTCCAGCAAGAAACATCCGGTCTTCAATAGGGAATGATCTCCCCTGACTGCTAGGCAGGTTTCACAGTGTCTGCCCATGCTGAGAATGAGGGTGTCAATGAGTTGTTGAGGTATTGCTGCCCATTCGTCTTGCAGCGCCAATCGAAGCTCCGGAATCGTTACTGGTGGTAAGGTACGAGCTACCAAGCGTCTGCCTAGAAAATTCCATACATGCTCGATGGGATTGAGATCCGGAGATCGTGATGGCCAATCCATACGTTCAATATCCTCACTCTCTAAGAGCTGTTCGGCAGCTACTGTGCGATGACATGGTACATTGTCGTCCATGAAAAGGAACTGCGGACCCATAGCGCCTTTAAAAAGACGCACATATGGAAGAAGAATCTCGTTACAATAACGGGTCCCGTTGACTGAACCTGGGTCGAATATGTGAAGGTCTGTACGACTACCAAGCATGATGCCTCCCCAAACGAGAACACCGCCACCTCCATACCTGTCCCTTTTAATGATGTTCGAGGGATGATTGCGGCTTCCCCGCTCTCTCCAGATGACTATGCGATGAGAATCGCTACTCAGACTGAATCTCCTCTCATCTGTAAGAGTACTCGTCCCCATTCATTGTCTCTCCAATTCGGTGTTTTGGCACCACAGAGAGAACGCCTTCTCCGATGGGCAGGCGTTAGAGGTACACCGTACAGGGCGTCGTGCAAAAACAGACACCACCGTGCAGTCTTCTGGCCACGGTAAAACGCGATATCGGTCGTCTAGTCGCCTGTGTCGTGTCTCTAGCGATTTCTCCCGCTGTCTGCCGCCTGTTTCTTCTGGCCTGTAAGGCAATATACCGGTCATCTGCGGGTGTGGTTCCTCGTGGACGACCACTACTAAACCCCCGGATAGCTGTTCCTGTAGTTTGAAATTGTCTTCAAAGTCGTGAAACGATGCTGTGAGCTATTCCGAACTCTGCAGCCACACTTGTCACACTGCGGCCTTCCTCCAATTTCCCAATGATTCGACCTCGGGTAAAAGCATCCAGATGTCGTCTAACAGATTGATTATTCGCCATTTCTCGCTGAGGCAGCAACTCGGTGTGATTTTAACTGCTATACGGCGTGCAATCTCTTTTCCAGAAATACTGATCTTACACCGACAACATGCTTTATATTACTTAATCTCCTGATTGGTCTTTCTGTCCGCTCTGCCTCTTCGTTCAGCTGATATGCTAATTTTTCGACTTCGTCCTTAATTTTTGCACAACAGTGTATATACGTATATACATGAATAAATGTTACTTTTCTGCAAAGGTATATTTTTATTTTATAAAATTATTTTTTTACGATGATGACAATGATAATTTATATGTATAATGACATTTGATATGGTGCCTTTAGGGCCGACATATTTTATCTTGCCAGGGCCGATTTCTTTGGCCAATCTGCCACTCGCAATGCGTCATTGTTTGAAAAGGTTGGGGTCGTTGGAAACTTTCAACTCTAATAAGTTTCTCGCCCTATCCCACTTGTGTTGTCATATGTCCTTTATAATGTTGTTCTTTGAAAATGTTTAACGTCACTAATTTTTATCATATGTTTGTCATTCTAACGCCATTTACAGTTTTTCAATGCGCTGGTCAATTTCCTTAGGGAAAAAGTGAGTGTTGCTTCTAAAAAATTTCGAAATTTTTTCACTAAAACTGCAACTGTAAGAGCTGTATTGTTTTAAATCATGACAATATCTGAAATATTATTTCTATTGGTTGCGCACATAGGCACCTGGCATTCATATATCGAAGAAGTATTTTTTAACTACCCGATATATTATTGAGGTCTTCAAAGAATAATTTCGGCATAATGACGCTAAGAAACCTGAAGTTATTTTCTTTAATTTTAGTGTATAGGAGATCAATTTACTCAATGCAATTGTATTTCGGAACAAATAATTCAAAACAAAGAAGTCCATTCAATATTTCTAAGGCAAAAACGAATATTATGGACTTTTTTGAGCAAATATTCCAATTAATTCCTTTGGTTCGGTTATATAGTACATTATTATAATGACATCTTCTTCTGTTTTAAAAAGAATAAACTGCTTAACTTTATGCTTCGATGTTCTTATAATAGAAATATTAATCTTGTTTTCTTATTTTACCTCTTTTTTAGTGATACCTATAGTGGATAATTCAGACGAATTCGAACTGCCGTTACCTTCACCACCACCAGTTCATAGCATACCATCATCTCCAACATTACGAGATTCTACACCTGATTTTTCTCCCCCACCTGCGTACGTCGATACTTCGCACGAGTTCAAAACTTTTCTGCCTAACAATGCAACTGAAAAAAGTAAAGTATATTTGTTTCCCCACATAAAAATGCATATTTTTAATATTTATGCTCTTGCAAGTAAAACTTCATAACGGGAAATGCGTTTCAAATGCAATAAGCACTATTTGCAAATCAACAATACAATGGAATGGGCTAAATACAGGCTGGCCCCAAAGTCACTAGACCATTTTAAAATGAAATATTTTTAAAATTTAATAATAATATATATTTATTCTTTTATTAAACAGAAAACACAATCAAAAAGAGTGTTTACATTTTTAAACAACCACCATTTTACTTCCCACTGTGTCGCGCTCTTTCTAAGAGGTAAACCTTCTCGGCTTATTTTTGCAATTTCTTCACGGATATTGGCTTTCAATTGATAAATATTTCGAGGATTGTTACGGTACTCATTCTCTTTCAAATACGCCCCATAGAAAGTCCGGAACAGTTGGAAAGAGTGGTGGCTACTTGATTTCAGAACTTCGCTAAATTATCAATTTTCCAAAAATTTCTCTTAAGAGTCTAAAATTTCAAAAAATTTTCTCGACTATTGAATTCTTGAAAACGTGTGTACTGCAAGAACTCTCGCTTTACTTCACGTCATTGGAAAGGCAGGTGTATCATTAGGGAATGGGGCTTAACAGCTTGTTTAAGCTGTTTCGGTGATTCTAAACATGTTCAGAAATATGTTCTTATTAGCTGTCTTACTAAGAAAGGGCAACAGTTAGCCATGCGGCTAAAAGTATTTTATTGTTAGAGCTCGTGGTGGTTGAAACAGGTAAGAAAGCGACAATACATACTCAATTCTTTTAGCTAAAATGCAGCTGTCTTCCTAAGAATTCGTTATATTTTCGTAACTGATTGGCTTACCAGTTTAGATACATGTATACATCTTTTCAATAATGTAACAAACACATTGATGTTTCTCACATGAAAACAGATATACGAATATATAATTGTGTTTTAGTTACTTGTAGCGTGTACTAGTTTCTTGTAACTAATTAACATATACAAACACAATTATAGTACATTGGTACAATGTAATACAATTCACCAAATATTATATATATATAACGATGTGATGCTGTTGTAATTCTATGATATTTATGCATCGCTATTACTGCACTAATGAAGAGATATTAAGTATTTACGGTAGAAATGTAGTTGGAACGAAATTTGTAAAAGTCTATACGCCATTATAACAATGGTATATAGACAATCTTGAAACAATTATAACAATCTTGAAAAACCATGCATATATGATATTGAATAATCTCTTGTTGCTAGTGGTAAGAATGAAAATGATTTCTAAACGATAGCTAAAATTCGGATTACTAAACGATAGCTAATTATTCGGAGAGATGTATAACCACGCTTGTTGGAACATTGTAATTAGCTGCACACATCATAGTGATATTGGGCCCTGCACAAGTTATAGTAGACTTGCAACTTTTTCGAAATCCAGTTATTCCAATTCGAGTTACATTGGAGCAACTCTGGATATGTTCAATTGCATATGAGTTACTGCAGGTATTTTTAGCGCATTTCTGTATGGATGTAATTCCTCTGACATGATAAGGGCATTCGAATAAGTAATGATTGTGGTCGCCAACCGCTCCATATGTTCACCTATCCTGTCCTGAAAGCTGGAAAGATGTAAGTATAATAGCTCACGTATTGACCATGACCTGTAAAAAACTGCTTGAGTTCTAGATATATAGCTGTGCTGCTTTTCACTAAGCAACTAACACTGGAATGTAAGATTTTTCTATAATTATTAAACGGATCAGAAAATTAACCTTAACTAATTGCTAATATATAAATAACAAGCTAACTGTCGATGCATGCTTCTAATGAATAAATAAATTTTGTTTTGAATCGAAAAATCAAATGAAGTGTTGGTATTTTTAATGTAATTAATTATAAATAAATTCAAATGTTATTTTTTAAAAATGAACATTGAATTTCTTTGTACTATGAATGTAATTATAAATAAATTCAAATGTTTTTTTTTTTTTAATGAACATTGAATTTCTTTGTACTATGAATGGAATGCAAAATTGTGAGTTTTGCATATGCTGTAAAAATTATTATATGCTTTAATTTACAGCCCATCACAATAATCTTGAAAGATCTGATTCCAACTTCTCTAAAGATGTTAAAGATAAAACCATAGCTCCGAAACCGCAGATATTTTCATCACAGCCAAAGTCTCCCAAGGAGCAGATTGAATCATCTCCTGTTGCTAGTACAAGTAATACGCCCACACTGATAGGAATCAAACAGCCAGATAGGTCTTTCAGTCTTGATTCTGCTTCTAATAAAGACAGTGCTCTTGAATCATTCCAAGAAGAATTGAAAGCTTCTTTAGCTCAGAAGAAGGGTATAAGAGTCTGGAAGAAGATCACATGTCCAGAACATCACGTCACTGATTGCTATTACATAAACTTGAATTCCACTGATGCAGAAGTTGCACATTGGATGAAATTGAAAGGTTTCAGTGAGAGGTAATTTTGTATTTAATGCATATAGAAAATTGCACCTGTAAGTTCTGTAATATAATTATTTTAATTTTTTAGTTTCTGCTTGCTTTAAACCCATTTGTCGCCATGGGGGTCATCGGTAACAACCATCTGGTTATTTCAGGAGCGCTGTGGGGCTTATAGGTGACCACCAAAGTAGACTGGTCTTTGAGCTATCGTTCAGCGCTGCTGGTCACTTTGTCTGTGCATTTCACTATATACGGTGCATCAGTACAGCAATGACAAACTTTCAGGAGAGATAGAGTTCACCTAGACGATGGGAAATCACATAGCAATGCATCGTCGGAAACGCTTTCCTGACGCAGTAGTGACGACACAAAACGCAAAAAAGGACCGACACAAACAGTGAGACAAAACATGTTTTATTATGTTTAGTACAGCAGAAACCTACGAATAGGAACAAAAACAAACAACAACTTAAAGAAGGTGTTCGAAATTACGACCTCGGACCGTGATGCAGGCCTCACTTCTCTGGCGCACGGAAGATGCATGACGCACTGTTCCTGCGTCACGTTCCGGGTCGTAATTTCGAACACCATTGATGACGATCGCTGTCCCTTTTTCTTGTTTTTTCTTTGTTTTTGTTGTACTCAGAATAATAAATATGTTTTCTCACCGCGTTCGTGTCCTTTCTTTCTTGACTTATGTGACGTCACTAACGCGCCAGGAAAGCGTTTCCGACCATGCAATTGCTGTGTGATTTCCCATCGTCTAGGTGTACTGTATATCTCCCGAATGTTTGTCACCGCTGTACTGATACACCTTGTATAAAGTGACCAACATAGCCCTTCTGCAGACTCCTGCGATTTGTGGAAGAATGTGTGTAAAAATAACTTGTTAATTTGTTAGGTACAAACGTGATTCGATCTTCCCCTAATTGGGAAATAAACTTTTCATCAAACTCCATTTTGGGATGCTAACTTTGTTGTGAAAAGTAGTTTATGCAAGATAAGATAATGTTGTTGAATGAATGTCTACATGTAACTGATAATGGACAAATAATTAGTAGCTGCCAAGAATGCCAGAATTTGGGCACATGGCCAACAAGGTGACGCTTCGGCGCTGCAGCGAAATTATTCCATGAGTGCCATAGGTCCACCAGCGGCCGAACGGTAAATACGCTGAACAGTGGTAAATCGACTTGGGATCGAATCTCTGCGAACGGGCTGGCTGCATAGTTGGTTTTTGTGGTTTTTTCCATGTGTAACTTGGATACGAGCCGGTTTTCCTTGAAACGTCCTCTGCGAGGGCATCTCTTTCTATTGGCAGACAGCCCTCAAGTTGCTTTGTCTTAAATCAATTAACCTAACCTAACATAACCAATAGCACTGCGACAGGCATTGGTGACCGCATGTAAAAAAATCGTTAAACCCTGTTAAAAATGCATCAAAATAATAAAATATCATATTATGTGTATATATCCTCATAGAATAAGCCTGAAAAGTAAAAGCCTTTTTTCAACCAATTTTTATAAAACTAGCCGCTATGCGGCCAGCCTCCGTCTGGCTTCTAAATGTACCAGAAAAATGTCTAAAGGGAACACCAAACATTAAATTTAAAAACTGCATATAATTTTACTCTGCAGAACAACTTTATCAAAAACACAAACAACAACAACAAAAAGAAAAAACAGAAATTTTAATAAATATGTATTATATATATATAAATTACAATGAAATAAGTAATATCTCTTAACACAAGCATTAATTATCCTAATAAATAAATTAACAAACTTCCCGTTGAAAAATCTTAACAATTCAAATGGTATAAAGGAAGTTCAAAACTTTGCTTCCTAAAAAAACGTGCAAAACTTTTTATATGATTAAAATTATATATAATTAAAATATAATATAAAAAACTACAATGAAATAAGCTATAAATCTCATATTTTTAAGAGAAAATATTCAGCAGTCTAGTATCCAAAACATCGAATGAAAAATTGTTGCCAAACCCACATTTCTAAAAGAATGAAGCTATTCAAAAAGATGCGATTTCATCAAAAAAGATTAAATTAAAAAAAAATCTGATTCGAATTAAAAAAAACGCTTCGAAGTGCACTGGCTCTTGTCTAGATGCACTTATGTACCAAATTTCGTAGCCCTGGATTTATTAGCTTACGCACAGCACGAACGAAAGGCACACACAGAATTTTTTTTTATTATATGTAGAAATTCTGTGGCGATCAGTGTGTTAAATTGGGAATTCTCTGTTCGTAATTTTCTTCCTTCATAGAATATAGAAATGTATCAGTTATGAAAGTTCTGAAAAAACTTCATTTGCATTTCCGAATCCTAATTGGGTGATATTTTTGGAATGCTGTTTATATATTTTTGCATGTGTCTACCAGGGATCGAGTAAACAAGATCACTAAACTCTGATAATTCCATACGAGTTCAAATTTCCGCGAACTAGCTGGCTATACGGTTTTGTGCATTTTCCTAAGTATAATATTTCCTATGTGTAGTGTAATGTAACGAGCCTGTTTATTTTAAAAAGCTCTGGATGGAGCCAGATCTTCCCGTAGGAAAACAGCCCTCGTGTGCTTTCCCGAATTAAAATAAAATTGAATATCTCATAGTTCTAAGAAAAGAAATAGACAAAAGTTTTCAGATTTATGTAAAAAAGATACTCTTAGTATTTACATTATTATTGGAGTGCTAAAGCAACAAGAATAAGCATAATATTCATACATTTGGAGGACTAGTTTCGAAGGTTTAAATATGCTTCTTCAGTTGCAGGAGTGTAAATGAAAAGAGAAGTTTGCGTTCGGACACTAAGAGCGAAAGGAAGGAAGTCAAACTACTAGCGCCATCTATTGATAAAAAATGAAAATAGCTATGAAATAATTTTCTTCAAAGGCGGATTGGAGTTGAAATCGTTGACGAGAACTGAAACATTTTTATGATTGTGGAAACCTCTAGAAAATCTAATTCGCCAACGAAAAGTGTCTTTGAATAATTCGTGTTGAAGAATAATGGAAAATTGCGATTTTTGACCAATAGGACCGTATTAGTTTGACCAATGTAAATTAAATCCTGTGTATACCTCAGGAGTTCATATATAGAGTGGACTGTTAAAGTATGGAACTGCGAATTTTACTGATAGAAGAAAAACCGACCCAACAGTTGAATTTATGTAAAATGAATGCAGTTTTGCAGCTAATTCATTAAAAGAAAAGAATAGCAGCAGAATTCATAAAACCTCCAAAAATTCATGAATATTCCCTTATTCTTGTTGCCTTAGCACCTCCAATAGTCGTTATTCGGCGTATTATTTTAATGAATTAGCGTATTATTACATACACATAGGAAGTATTTTAACGAATATTTAATTAATATTTGGTTCTCTGAAAGTTTATTACTTTAATTAAAACTGAAAATTCTGAATGATATTTAAAACATAGTATATCCATTCTAAAAAGAAGAAAAATGGTAATGGGAAAATTTAAAGAAATGATGTCAGGATTTGTCAGTTGCTTTACGCAGCACATGATAGTTAAAAAACTGTTATTTTTCACACCAAATGTAGCATAAATTCATTCAAGGTTGTAGTGTGAAACGGCAGTGCATTAGATATACCTATCTGATAGCTCGTTTACCCACTTAATTGTAATAGCAGCCGCCAGCAGAAGTCTTCGTGACCGAGTTAAAGGTTAAGAGTAAGAAACCAGTACTGCCGTAGAGCATTCTAAGAAAAATCATTTAATGCCTTGCAATCGAAAGGATGCGATACAATTATGGCAGTTGATATTTTTCACCAAACTATGACAAATAAATTTTATGCTAAGTTTTATTTGAATATTGTAAACAAATTATTATGAAATTCCCATGTTTATGCTGAACAGTTATTTTCAAAGTAATTTTATAGATTTTAATTAATTAATTAATTTTTTACATAGCTGTAAGTATTGTTGAGCTAGGATTTGTAAATGAAACCGAAATTTAAGCGGGTTGAATGCAGTTTTACACGTTGAATGAACTGGAAGATTTTAGAAAAAAGAGAATATAATTCCTTATTATGCTGGTTGAAGGAAATGATTTTCCTACGTTTAGAAACAATGATTTAAAAAATATATATATATTAGATTTTCCCCAATGCTTAGACTAAAAGGGTATAAGGCATTTTATATATATATGTAAAAAATATCTCATTTGCGTAATTTTAGCTCACTGCGTTAAAAAAGTAAATTAAAAAAATACAATTAATTAAAATTTATTTAGTTGATAATTATCAATGTATTCTTAGCCGTGTGTAACTAAACTAATTGTAATGTTTCTATTTAAGAACTGTAGCTGAACATTCACTTTATTAGAACAGTAGATATGAAAACATGGAAATTATTTCATTCAGTTTGTGTAAATTTCTCTCTCATAACTGTAATTTGAAACCTACCATTGTCAGTAGCCCAATAGTTTTATTTTTAGTCACGTGCACTCGAGTATATTGTGAAAGTAATTTTCTAAAAACCTTTTCGAATGCCAAAAACTAGCGCCAGTGTATAAAACGATTAATATTTCATACACTTCCTAGGCATTCTATAGAATGACAAATGACTAACCGGCAAAGTATGAAATACAACGCCGATTCGTGTCGAATATCCATATATTTAATGCATTCATACATAATCCATACAGTTAATACATTCATTCCATACATTTTCATTCATTGTTTTGTTCAGTAAGAAAGGCATAAATTTTGTTTTGTGCATTTTCCTTTACAAATTCCGAATAAAAGTTTTTTAATGGCACTCTTTCATTATTTTATCAAAATAACATTTGTATTTTTGAGAAATGCACGTCTTTTAAATAACAGCCTAATCATGACCTTTATTTTATACTTTGCTGAAATAGCATTTGCCATTCTATAGTATGTCTAGGTATTATATAAGGTGTGTTTAAATGAAAAGGTGCGAAACTTCGCAACAAATGAACCGGTTGAAATGTGAATATGCCGCTTTGGTATAA